TTTTTCTGAGGCCATTTTGCTTGATCCTAATTCCGTTTATTTTTATGACGGCATTAATGGTGTCTGGAAAAAGTTAAACGTCAAAATTTGTTTACATTTCGATAGTTTTGTTGCAATGCACCGAGCTTCTACTCCTGCGTTGGACGATTATCATCCATTGGAAGCAGTTAATCAGGAAGTGTATCTGCATAACTTGGAACAGGTGGAAGCTCAATCGTTCCCATAAAGTTTCCCTTCTCCCGGATGATGCGAGGAAGTTAATGTGCGCTTGCTTGGATTTTTTGGCACAGTTGACTCTTTCGCCGAATGAAGCCACTGCTATGGTTCGGAAGGCAGTCAGTTTCCAGCTGGCTGACAGCTTCTGAAGTTTCCTGTCGGCAGTTTTCCGCAGTCCCAGTTTGCCACTGATGCATGTTATTCGAATCATCATCGAAACGCGATTTCTGGAGAGGTTGGTCTGTGTTTATCCAGATCGTGACGCAAACGCCATTGACAATGTTTTGGGTATTCCCATCAATTTAAGCGTCTAATTTGAAGGCTTAAAGTGCTTCGTGAACCGCATTCACTTACCCTTCTCAGTCGGCTGTTCTATCATTGTTGACCGGTTCAGTCGGAGCTGCTGGGCCTCCCAGGAAGTTCTGGAATTGGAGTCCTTTTTCCTTTCCGTCGACAGCATCGCTACAATTATTCCTCCTACTATCACTAGTTTCCTTGTGATTCTTCGTTTAAAAGCACCAATCGATTCATTGTTTCTCTGTCTCTAGGCGGATCCATATTTTTAGTTTAATTTGTAAACAGTAGGGAGTTTTGCGATACACGTTATTGACACCAAAAAGCAGCAATATATGCATTTTGTTCCCGTTTGAAACCGAACGGTTTTATAATTGCTTTTTATAATGATAAAACACCTTTATGGAGTATTTTGTCGTGGCATAAAAAAAACTACCGAACAGGTTTATGATTGACTAACTGAACAGTTTTATACATGGATAGAGTGCTACATTAAATTCATTTTTAAAACCATACCCGTTTGACTTTATCGTCAGCATGATAATGTTGAACTACTGACCAAGAATGTGTTGCATTTTTAAATGCTGTATGTTGACTAAAAATATTGTTTATTGCCATTATTAGTCTACTTGTGGATTTCACGTAGATGTGCTCACTTCTTAGATGGTGAGGATTTCAAACTATAGAAAGTTCACATGTACGCTAGCGCCACGTAGTGAGGGAATTCCTAATTCCTTGATCATCTTACTTATAATGCCCGTAACAGAAGCTTCTGAGAAGTCCTGAACCGGATTTTCTGGTGGATTTCCCGGGGCCTCCATTTCACAAATTCATACTGATGACAGATCTACATATGTTTTCGAAAAAAGCTGATATATTTCGGAAAAGAAACATTGTTATTTACTTATTCTGTTTCAATCAACCAAACGTGGCTGTCTTACCCCGGTTGCCGTCAAACCTTAACAGCTTCTGTAATGCCTCATAATTTAAAGAAAACTGTATATTTTTCACTTCGTCAAACAGACATGTGTTTTGCTTATAGTAACATTACTTTTACATGATAGATTATATGATAATATGACAGCTCCAAAGCATTAAATTCCATAAACAAAAACTAACAACGCAGGCCACCGCCATGCGCAATGTTTATTTTGACGTTTCACTTGTTATCAAGCTAGAATGTGTTTAACAACACAAATTATACTATATAAAAGAACTTGTTCAATAGTTGATTGTTTCAATAATCTAAAGAATGGTCGTCTTACCCTGTCGTTCCCTAATTGCTATAACCTCTCGCTAGACTACTAGCACGAAACGAAAATGAAAAAGAAACACCGTTAGAACAAAACGCTGACTGTGGATTTTCTCGTCGTCACCCCTTTCAATGAAATTAACGTCAATTTTCGAGATGAAACGAGGCCCCAATTCGGTTTTCAATTCCTTTCACCGACACTATGTCACCTCACTTTCAATTAATTTAATATGCGTTATGTTCCGTCTTCGTAACTTTTTTTATATTATTAATATATTGATGGAAGATAAATTAAACATATTACGTGCAATCTTCAAGTGTTCTCGCGAGAGAAATGCTTTAAATAGGGAAAATGGATGTAATGTCGGTCTAAATGCCCCTAATTTGGGACCATACATAAATTCAGCAATCGACTACATTTTCAATAGCGACCAAAAGCATCCATAAGTACCGTCCTAAAGACGCGTTCATCTAGATAAAATTGATAAATAGCAGATTTTTAGCGATGGGCCCAATCTTATATCCATAGGCCAATATCAGAGCCATTTCCCCTATATATTTTCATTTTCCTTCATATAAGGAAAATGGCTCTAATGTTGGCCTATGGATCTAAGATTGGGCCCATCGCTAAAATTCTGCTATTTATCAATTTTATCTAGATGAACGCGTGATTGAGACGGTACTTATGGATATTTTTGGTCGCTATTGAAATATGATTTGATTGCTAAATTTTGGTATGGGCCCAAATTAGGGGCACTTAGGCCGACATTACATCCATTTTCCCTACGTCATGATATATCGGTCGACGTGTTTCATAAAAGACGAAACTATCAAAATCGAGAGCTCTTTCACTCGTCCGCTTCACCGAATCTTGAAGGAAAGACGAATGAAGCGTCAGGAGAAACCGGGACAAACGATTGAAAATTTGTTTGTAGATGCCGACGGAGGTGCTAGAATGCTGCGAAGATGCTCAACTTGAACAGTAAAAGAAAGCTAGCAGTCTTTTCGTCGCATCGATTTTGTCGAGTGAAACTGATATTGTTATTTAGATGATGAGTAAACAGACAAATTGACAGGTGTTGGCGGTGCACGGTACATGAAAATAACGCTAAATTGAGTAGGATTCACTTCCTCTAGGCTTTTAACGCTTCTGTAGTGAGTATTTTGCCGGCTCTAAACCTAAAACAAATAGGGGAAATGTATGTAATGTCGACCTAAGCGTCCCTAATTTGGGCCCATACATGAATTCAGCAATCGACTAAATTTTCAATAGCAACCAAAAATATCAAAAAATTAAATTGATAAATAGCAGATTTTTAGCGATGGTCACAATCTTAGATCCATGGGCCAACATTATAGCCATTTTCCCTATCTAAGATATAATGTGATTATTTTTAGACTCATTTTGTTTCTTTTCTATTGCATATAATATTTTGTTCTGTCATGACCTCCAGTTTAAATAAAATTGTTTTAATCTGATTGGTGTCAGCCAGTTCTTGAAAGCATCTTGGAAAATGATATATATATACCTACATCATTTTTCTTGTCTAATTGATATATGTTTCACATCGAAGATGCGTCACACATATCAAAACGGCCAGGCCTACTGTGTAGCATTTAAGGGGCAAGATGATGCAGAAAACATCGGGCCTGTTTAAATCGACGATTTAAACACGTTGCTTCAAAATCCTATAAATGGACGAAACGTGGACATCTCATACCGTACGTTCCGATTTTGGTAATAATATGATTGGTTGGTCGTTGGAAGCATCAAAGCTAGAAAGGTTAAGTGATGCTCCATTTTCTTCTGACGGTTGGGGCATGAGCACTAACTCTTGTCCTAGCCTTTTATGACTAATGGCTATAGCGCCATTACTCACTTTCTTAAAAGAGAAGAGGTAAAGAAAAAGGAGAAGGACAAAGGGAAAAGGATTATGTGAAATCTATGAACATAAACAATATTTTTGATTTGAAATATATAATATAGAAATGGTCACTACCTGAGTCTTGTCACTATTATCAAGTCATAAAAAGTTACAAGGGCTAAAATGTGATCCTTTGATTATTGGAAAATCCTGATTCCCTAGTTTGAAGTTGTCACAACTAGGGTTCGGCGGTAGATCTTATAACAGTAACGCACCACAAAAAGGTGATTTCTCAACGTTACTGGTTTGAAAAGATGAAAATTTATAAAATGGACGAACTCACCAAGTTTAGACAATTGAACCTGAAGGCTGCCTGATATGTGTTGATGTAGAAGTCCAAATTGAAGACGAAGCTTAACGAAGATCAACATGAACTAGTCCGGTGTATGGTAGTTGCGCGGAATGTCGTCCGTCGATTTGAGATAAACAAATGTTTGGATGTATGTAGTTGATTTTTGATGTGCAATAGTCAGTTTCAACACTGCGACTCAACGAATAATGGGACGCCTCGTGGAGGTTATACTTGGCTTCGGAACAGCTTCTCAGTGGCAAATAATAGGGACCTAGAATGAGGAACTAGAAATTGTCGCCTGGGCCTGGCTATGGCCAGATCAGCAACCGATTATAGATAAAAAAAAACTCCACGGAAAAAAAACAAACGTCAGGTCCGAACACCGAAGTTATCAAGTTTAGGGTTTTCGCTCAATACTCCTATGCGAATAGACTACCATGCGTCGTGATCATGTTACAGTTGCTATACATCAATGGGCAAACACCCTAATGAGACCCTAATGCGCTAAGGATCAAAACTGCCAATTTTTATGAAATTCCACTACATCGTTTTGCTATGGAATGGCTTTATATTGATAAGTGTGGGGTTGGCTGAAAGATAAAGAGTGTGAACGCTAAATTTTGGCCAACGGATACGCTTAAAAATGACGCATCTTTTTGCTAAAAATGACCGCTCAAGAATGTCTATGGCCATAAATAAAAGTGTGAAACTTGACGATGAAGAAATTCCCCTCCCCCTAATTATAGCGAATGTCAAATAAAATTTATTCAATTCTGAATTTATCTTGAAACAGATATGTTTTAGCTGCATGCTTGCGATTGGCCATAGTCCAGTATTTATCTCAGATGTTCATCAAAAAAAAAAAGTTAGAATTTATCCAATATTGCAAATCTAATCAACCTTACTCGTTTTCAATCTACTACTCCCTTGACTGCTGCTGAGATATTTAATAAATCCTTTGAAACAAATCTCCCAATACATTACTTTTAAACCATTCCATAATTGTTCACAGCAACAAACAAAGGGAAACAGGTCCAATAACCAAGCGTACTCGCTTACCACCAAAGTCACCGGCCATCGGGGAGTACAAACAACCGACCGAACGAACGACCAACAAGTGCCCAATTATTGACGGTTTTCAAACCAGAAGAAGAAATAACTCGCGGTGCAGATTTCGCAATTTCGTTCGTTTGAAAAATTATTCAATTTCGTACTCAACGACGATGCAGTACCGAGCGACGTCGATATGGACCCTGATCGGTTGTCTGGCAGTCCTGGCCGGAACCACCTGGGCGGCGTATGAGAGACGTAAGTACACTTTATTTCTTTTCATGGAATCGCATTTTTTTCTCTTTCGGCCTGCTCTTAAAGGCATGCAAAAATAGAAGCTGAAGGACGACAGCTCACTGCGAAAGATCGCATTCTGCTCGGTTGTCCTTCTCACTTAAGTCAACATCCGGGGACGGGGATGGACGGTGCAGCGAAGATCTGTCTTTTGAAGAGTGCAAGATGTCAAACTGTCTCATAAGTTATTAATTTTGGTGTTCACTCGAAACGAATTGCTTGCTGCAGGCAATTTCGCACTCGACAATAATCTCAGTCCAAAATTGGACGGAACGTGATAGCGATCTTCCGCAAGCTATTTATACGCTAAGGTTAATTGAAACGACTGTTTGTATCCGATTACCTCTAAAAAAAGAGAAGTTTAATGTTCCATTTCGGTAAACCGCCCTCAGCTACATGATCAAAATTCATAAATTACAATGCCAACACCCATTGTGTTGCGAATGGCTGTGAATCGGATAATGAACTCTCTCGATTCAGTCCCCAAATTTCCGACGACTAGTCAAACCAATTCAAACGCTCGGCGTGACCGCATCGATGATGGGTGGTGGGTGACCTTAACCTACACCGAACGAGCCGCTAACGTGACCACAAAAAGCTCTCCTCCTCAGTGGTGCATTGCCAAAAGTAAATAAGTACCGACCGGCGTGGTCTTCGGACCGAAAATTGCCCCATCGTAGCTCGCGAGCAAACAACGAAAAAGCAAACCCACCAACTCATCTCACACCACATCTGCCAAGGAGCAGAGGCAATATATTTTCTATCAACACTTTCGGTTGAGTGGTTCGGTTTACGGTCGAACGAGGAGGGTGTTCAGTTTTGAGAGTGAGGTAAAGTGGGGATGTGTTTGAGTTTGATGACCATGTGATTTACCCAGCGAGCCCTGCAAGGTCAACGTGCTGAGAGCACTAAAGAATCATCATTGCGGGGACTGACCTTTCGATGTAACTGAGCCTAACGGTACTCCAAAATCAAGTCGGGAAAGTCTTCGATGAAAACGTTGACCGGAGCTGCTCTGACTGATGCAAAATTTTAACATTTTCGCTCACTAGTGCTCAAACAGTTGCAAATTGGGTCCACATTAGCCTCCCAAAATTAAAACTTATTTTTTAGGAAACTAACGTGGCACAAACCGTTTGAAGTTTATGTAGAAATTACTATGGGAAAGTTTGACTTCTAGCCTTTTTTCTATATTACACTGTTAAAAAGTTCTACAGCTAGTCTTATGGGGTACAACTTTGTAGAAGATCGTTTTTCAGCCAAACGCGCCAGAAACACCTATGTTGCCTGCTGAACAGTTGATTGAGCATAATAAAGACATCAGTAACTTGAATCGTTAATAATTACTGTTCATTAAATTTGATCTGAACAAAGTTGTAGCTGAGAAAATTTCCTAGATTGAGATGAGATGAGATGAGATGCTGAAATATTAAATCGATACGAACAAAAAATTTAGTTTCCCCATAGTAATTTCCATATAAACTTCAAATGGTTCGTGCCAAGTCCGTTTCTTACTAAATGAGTTCAAATTTTGGGAGGCAAATTAGGACCCACTTTGAAACTGTTTGAGCACTGTGGAGCGAAAATGTCAAAATTTGCATCAGCCTAGTGGGGGTGTTTGATTGAGAATGTGTTCAAAATCAACATTTACAAATATGCTACCCCATTGTTCGATCATTGGTAAAAAACAGCATCAACAATAGAATCTCACCACGCCACCGATTCTCAAGCATCCAAGCCGAATATCATAACAGAAAACCCTGATCACGCGAACACTGCAAAACCGGTGCTAATGAACGACGCTATGTCGAAATCGCTGCAAACCAGTCGCTGCAAACCGAGCGTCAACTCTCAAGGGGTAGAAAAGATCCATTTCCACCATCGATCCATGCAACAAAATACCACGACGACGTCATGATCCGGCTCATGCTGATCTCAAAGTAGTGGTGGTCGTCGTCGCCGTCGTACAAACACCCCTAAGATAAGTGCATTCTCGGTTCGGATCTCTCAGCAGCACACTCAGCTGCTGCTCAGGGGGCACCGGTTGTGTCCATGTCGAAATATCGCAGTAATTTCGGTGAGTAAGCGAAAATAACAACCAATTCACTCGCTCCGGCATCACCGCGTTTCTAGAGACGGACGGATGGATGAATGGACAGACAAACGGAACAATTGGTCCGCGGAGCGTCTGGCGTACTGCATTTGAATGGTGTGCCCTGCAGCAGCAGCAACCACAGTGGACCACCGGCCCCGGGGGGAACTTTGGCTGTGAACTCGAGTGTGCATTCATTAACAATATTTACATTTTCACGAGCAAATGTTGTGCAAAAGTGTTGACCTACACATGGCTTGACGACGACGACGACGACGATGGGTACAAAGATCTTGCACAAGACGCAGCACGCTGGTGATCTATGCGATTTATGCTCTCTAATGTACATTGCAGTATGGTTCTTTTACTGAGGTGAATGCTGCCGCTCTGGTAGTATGGTGCACTCCGGGTAACTTCAAAGTGCAGTACATGGCAGATACACAGTGGGGTGAAGCCAGTCGTAATTTAATTTTTATTTTTTCATGAATTATTATTTTTTTAAATAAATTTAAAGGTTTAAGCATCAAATACAAAATCAGGATAATCCGACGAAAATTGATTTTTGTTTATTGCGGTAAAGATGAAATTTCAATGAAAAACAGTAAATTTTTGACCAAGGCAAGATCTTCAAGAAATTAATTGTATATGAATAACAGGTCATTTTTCTCATCCTTAAAGAGAAGAACTAACACTATATATAATAAAATAAACTAAAATCAATCATAACCTTATACTATATTATATTACATTATACCTTGTAAACCCACTTTTTGAAAATATGTTCTAATCTTCTACGAAACCCATGCGCTTTATCAGTGGTCTAATTGAACCATATCTAGTATAGTATTTTCCTGGTATTCAAGAAATTTTTCGGAAGACCCAGCAGTTTTGCAAAATTTTTGGAACAGTTCTGAAATTCTTGGAATATTCTGAAATATCGCAGCACTTTTTGAAAGTTCCGGAAATTAATTACTTCGAAATACTCATTACAATACCATCCATGACAAAACTGCAGTTCTCTGGGCTTCCCTGAAATTCACGGAACTTCTTATAGTTTCTCAAAGGTTTCCTGATGCTCGTGGTGTTGTCCTGAATATATAGAATTTAAAATATACAGATCTTAGCACCACTTAGAATCCTATCCTAAAAACTACAGATCATTAAACTTCCTCAAAAGTATGTTCTATACTGAAGTTTTAGGGATCTCTGAGCTTCCCTAGAAATTTCTAGAGCTAGCTTTCTTGAAAGTTTCCACAATTCTCCTAAAGTTTTGCAGACTTTTCAGATAATTTATTGACATCTTTGAAGTTTTCTGAACATCCCTGAAGCCATTGAGTTTCTTGAAAGTTATTTCAATTTCATTGAAGCCGATGGATCCGCCTTGAAATTGTAACTGATATGCTCAACATTTAACAGAAGTTCTCATATTATCCCGCAGTATGTTCATGACACTTCCTCGGAAATCCTCGGTATTTTTGACGTAGTATAACATCTTACGGTAGCATATTGGGGGTGCAATTAACAAAAAACCAAAATCGACCGCGTTACGAAAAGTGGTCAGGTTTTGACCACTTATAACTTTGTCAATAGCGAATGGATTTTAATTCTAAACAAGCCAATCGATCGGACATTTTTCTACGAATCTGATAAAATGAACACTTTTTCAATGTTCAATAGGTCACTATTGAAAATTACCAGTGGCGTCGCGTAACCTCATTTTTTACCTGATTTGTATCCATTGGAAGCCATTTTTTTAATTTATTGAAGTTTTGAGAGTTGTTGAACAGGTAAATTGAGGAAAGAGCGACGCCACTGAAAATAACACAAATATCACCATCCCTCTCCAAAGGGGGAGTTTGGTAAAGAGAGATGAAAAATCGATTTGTACCTTCCTTAAAAGTTGTCCTAGCTCGCTGTCTACTATCTAAATGCAATTTACACACTACCGTACTCTAACGGAACTATCAACTCTATACTTTCATCTCCTCCATCTATCGTATAAAAATTGCCACTTTAATCTGTTATTTGAAATTAGCATCTTCAACTACTTTGACTATATGTTTTAGTATTACTTCTACGTGAAGTCAACGATTTACATCGTTGAAGATGCTAATTTCAAATAACACACTGTAGTGGTAATTTTTATACGATAGATGGAGTAGATGAAAGCATAGAGTTGATAGTTCCGTTAGAGTACGGCAGTGTGAAGATTGCATATAGATATTAGAATAGCGAGCTAGGACAACTTTTAAGAAAGGTACAAATCGGTTTTTTCATATCTCTTTACCAAACTCCCCCTTAAGAGAGGGATGCAGCACCTACCCCACCCGTGTCCCCTCGAGATCGTCAAGTCGACGATGACAGGAGCACATATCGTGGTAGGGGTAAACAATAGTTGCAATTTCCAAACCTACGACTGGATGCCTTCCTTCAAATAACAACCGTAGTGCGGTGAAAAATCGGTAGAACTGTTTCAAACACGCAGTTGGTACTTGAGCGGTCGGTTTTCATCTCTTATTGCCAGTGGTGGCGGGGGGGGGGGACACCCCTCACCATCCCTCTCCAAATGGGGAGTTTGGTAAAGAGAGATGAAAAAACCGATTTGTACCTTCCTTAAAAGTTGTCCTAGCTCGCTATTCTAATATCTATATGCAATCTTCACACTGCCGTACTCTAACGGAACTATCAACTCTATGCTTTCATCTACTCCATCTATCGTATAAAAATTACCACTACAGTCTGTTATTTGAAATTAGCATCTTCAACTATATCTTCAACTATATAAATCGTTGACTTCACGCAGAAGTAATACTAAACAAATAGTCAATGTTGAAAATGACGGTGATGATGATGATGGTCCCACCTTTTGCCC